TGGCCTTGTGTCGGGAGCACAGACTGGAGCACAGAACGAAGCTCATTGCTCTTCGCTACTTCCTTGCTCGTGAGCTGCAGCAGCGTGGTCAGCTGCGCCTTGCTTACGTGGCCTCTCAGGCCAACACTGCTGATATCTTTACCAAGGCACTTCAGCCTTGTGATCATCAGCGCTTTTGTACGATGTTAGGTCTTGTGCCTACTTGGCCTCACTTGCTCACCTCTTGACCTTGCTTGTACTATGATCTATATATACCTGCACTTGCTTGTTTACCTTTATATATATGATCCTGCATGTGAACTGGCCTTGTGGCCTTGAACCTGTGCTCGGAATGTGTGGTGACGTTGTGGTCCACCCTGAGCTTGCTTTACTTTGCTTGACTGGTCTTGTGACCGCTTGTCCTGGCTATCCCCCACTTCGCCTATGGGGGTGTGTCAAACATTATATGTTCATATTGTACTAGGCTGTAGTGGGTTCAGCCTTAGGGGGTACAGTATTTCTCTCGACATTCTACTTGTACCCCTCACCTTTGACCTAATGCCATCATTCCTTTCTTAGTTTCTTCACAATTAACTCATCTGTCTGTCTGCTCGGAAGCCTGGCTCTCAACGTTTCTCCATCTGAATCGCCTGGCACCTCCACACAAAAGGTGCGCACGTGCTGTTGTGTCAGTACTGCCCCACCGCTGTCTCTTTCCTTTCCTGTTTGTTGGTGCCCTGCCGCTGCTTCTCTTGTGCCCATGTATGTTGCCTTGCTTGCTTCTCATGTGTCTTGTTGCCCATGCTGCCCCACCGCCACACCTCTTCAGCTCTGCGTTCCCTTCCTCATTTTTCATATGTGTCTTGCCTGCTCCTTCCCTTCCGCCCTATTTTCATGTTTCCATTCGGTTCAGCTTGGCATTACAGTTTGATAATTCATTCATTCCATATTCATTCCAAGTCGGCCAACATTCTCCTCTTCACTTCGCTGCTGCTACTTCTGTCACCATATTTTCGTTTGTTTGCTCCTTTGCCTCCTTGCTTTCGTATTCAGCTCTTTGCTTTCGTCACATTGTCACCAGAATTCATGTATTCAAAGGAGTTCTTGCTACACGCAAGCGTATTGCCACACCGCTGTAATTTCACTGTATCTTTCTCCCACTTCTCCTGCGTCTCATCCCCATGCCTTATTCCACCCACAGCCGCTAGCTGCTCCGTTCCTTCTGCCACCAATGCGTGCTTCACGTTTCAGCCGCTCCTCCAGTCAAACGTTGCTCTGCTATCATCCCGTGAGGTGGGTATTATTGATTCCTTGGAGGCTGTTATGCTGCGGGTGGAGCGGGGCTGGTTTGTTGTGGGGCGGGGCTGGTATACCGTGGGGCATTGTCCTTCCCTTTTATCTTTCTCGCTTCATTCGCTCTCCACATGCGCCTCATCCATCCATCAACGAGTGTGTTCCGCTTTGGGTGCTCCAGCCAGTCCTTGTCATCCATTTCTTTGTTTGCCAATCACCTCAGTCATGGCATCTCTGCCCTCTTGGCGTCTTCTCTCTATTTTGACGTTCAGCATGTCCCACTTTCTTCTGCATGTTTCCCGTGCTGCTGCTGCTGCTGTTGCTGCTGCTGCTGCTGGTGCCTAAGCTGCTGCTACATGCATTTATTCATCCACCTCTCCCAAGATTCTATTTTCGTTTCCTTTATCCTCTTCCATCACCCTGCTCTGCTCGCTCGCCCTCCCAGTCCTTGCCCTGTCTACCCTTCGTCCGTTCATGCTTCATTCTTTTCCATCTAGCCTTTACACCCCTTACCTCGTCACCTCTCCTTGTTGCCTCTTCTCCTTGTCCAACCCTGCTGCCCTCTTCTCCTCATTACCCGCGTCCTCTTTGACGCACTTTCACTCCGCTTCTCCTCCTCCACTGCCCTGCTCACTCCTGCTTCCCCTCGATTGCTTTGGACTCATCCATGCGCCCTAGTCTCCCACTTCCAACCCTCGACGCCCTTCGATACACTTCTCAGTGCCATTTTGTTTCTTCCATCATGCCTTTCCTGGTATGCAGAGAGTGAAGGAGACTGATGATGGCGGGATCACACGAGTTGAAAGAGGCCATGGAGATGATGAGGGCACTTCGCGTGCAGTTGGAAGGGACAACGAGGGAGTTGGCCGCTGTGAAGGGGAAATTGGAGGTGGCTGAGAGGAGGCAAGTGACAGAGTTGAGGGAGATGCGAGGGCAGGTGGAGGAGAGGGAGGGGGAGCTGATTGCAGTGAAGGGGGTGCTGGCTCAACTGACGGATGTTGTGATGAAGTTGCGGGTTGATTTGAAAATCAGCCAAAGTGAAGGCGAGACAAAAGTAGCATGGGAGGTGGGTGTTGAATGAACATTTTTTCACTGCATGCATAGTTTCACAATGCTTGCATCGTTACATAAGGCATGCATTGCTTGCACGTTCCTGTCATCTTGATCATCTCTCCCCTTGTCATGTTTTCCCTCCGCCCATTTCCTCCAGGCAATCAAATCAGCATCAAAGAGATTTGATCTGAATTTGGCCGAACTCGACTGCATCTCCGATGCCATGCTCGCTCATGTGTCAACCATGACCAATCTGAAGATCATTTACATGTACTCTGCTTCGGGCTTCAGTGCGGAGGGCATCAAACACCTCTACAGACTGACAGGGCTGGAGTCACTTTATCTCACCAACACAGGCGCCTCAAACAGTGCCTTGGAAGGCATTGGGTCCTTGGTTAGTCTCAAATTCCTCTCTCTTGTGGGGACTAACGTGACGGATGCGGGTTTGCCGCACTTAACAGCTCTGTCCTCTCTCGAAAAGCTCTGGCTTTCTGGATGTGGGGGTGTGACGGATGCTGGTATGGTGCATGTGGGGAGGCTGACAGGACTTTGGGAGCTTTCTCTAAGTGGCACGGCGGTCACGAACGATGGGCTGCAGCAGCTGACTGCCCTGACCAATCTGATATCTCTCATGCCACCACAAGGGGGTCGTGTTTACGATGAGGATGTGCACAGGCGGTTAGGCAGGTAGAATGGTAAGGAGGTTCATAGCGTGGAAGGGAGGCAGATGAGATGAAGGCTGTGCTGTGCCGGTATAGTTCAGCGTATTATGTGAACATGTGCAATGTGCTCGCACTCATAACAGGTTTCAATGTATGTTTTGGCAGTACAACCAGGAATGGCTTTGTTGTCGAGGAGACAACACAAATAAAGTGATTTTTTGCTTGAAATATATAACAACCAACAGGGTACCGTAAAACTCAGGTTTTGCACTAGGGTGCAGTGATTTGCTATCGGACGCATAGTAGCTGGAATTTCTTGCTAAGGCATGATCCCACTGACAAGGGCAGAGGCAATGAAGGTAGTTCTGGTGTCTGCACGGATGAAGGCAGATGTCATGCATGCTACTGCTGTAGCCTTTACGTATCCCCTCATTCCCTCCTCCCATCTCATCCATACCCATCAAGAAGGACCGCTCACCCTACGGCAGTGTCTGGTGTGATGGGTGTAGGTAGCAACAAAGGTAGAGGAGATAGGCCACTGGAAGAGATCGATTGAGTCATAAACAGTGTTTTCTGCAGCAACGTAAACACTGCTGTCTTAATGTGCTGCCATATCTCACCACCACGAAAGCATGCAATTGCTTCAGAATGTCTTGTGCACTTGCTGGAACACGTACGTATCTTAGTTGCACTAGGAAGAGGCTAATATGCAACTGTATACCCTCACTGCAAACCTACAACCACGCAGTTTAAGCTGTTGTTGTGAGGCACCCCCACTGTGCCCCGCTGAGCTCAAGACTGTTACGCTGGGAGTAAGTGAAGCGCAAGCACAAGTATATGGCAGACATGAGAGTGCATGCCACTGGATGCAGATACAGAAGTAAATCAGAAACGGCCGTTAAGAGATGCGCATGCAGAAGGATGAGGAATAGGCCCCACCAGGCCTACGGATGCACCGACAGAAGAGATGACGGAGATGTAAGAGGGAAAGAGGTGGCAGGAGGTGCAGGGTGACAAGGGCTGAGAAATCATCTTGGGGTTGTTGTGTAAGGGAGAAGACAACCAGCCTCACCTCCCTCCTCATGGCGAGGTCATGACACTGCTAGGAGCAGCTGAGGGGAGATAGGGTCAGGGCATGGAAAGGAAGGGGTTGGGAGGGTGAAAGATGGTTCTTTCTCAAAGATGGTTGGAGTGCCTCTCTTGTGCCGCCATTAAGCAAACACCAAAGAGGGAGAGGTGGGACAGCGAGGTGGGGGAATAGGGGGTAGATATTGATATGGGACGAACAGGAAGGGAGTGGGGCATGGCCGGGAGGAGGGGAGGGGGGGAGGAGTGGGGAGATGGGTGACAGCAGATCAGGCAGTCGTGGTGTGGGTGATGTGGGAGGGAGGGAGAGGTGGTGTAATAGCTAAGGTGCTGCTACTTTGCTGGGATGGTTGGGAGCAGATGGGGGGGTGATTGTGGGCAGAGGAGGAGGACATGAGATGGGGTGGGACAGTTGGTTTGTTTGTGCACAGGTTGAATGGCGAGAAGGGGGAAGACAGATGAGAGATGGTGTGATGGGGTGAAGTGAAGGGTATGGCAGGATGGAGTTGTACATTTCCCAAGTTACACCTCTCTTGCCATCACCGCCGGTGTTAAAATATATATTGTGTAGCATGCCAACACATGTGACTGTACACCAATTGTGGTGTACAGTTGGGTTGGGACTACACCCAAGTTTGGGTGTAGTCTTGCACTTTGGGGTGCCAATCCACCCAATTGTGGTGGAGCCCCCAAATGCAACCCACTTGACTTATGGGGGCCTCACTTCCACAAGTGAGGTCACCTCAAGCCAAGTGGGCCTAGGGTTGCCTCACTTCTACAAAGTGTGGGCAACCCAACCCACTTCACCTATGGTTGCCTCACTTCCCCAAGTGAGGTCAACCCAACCTATGGTTAGGGTTATCCTTCCCCTCCAACACTTCCTTCCAACTATGTATGCTAGGATTCTCCTCTAATCCAATTACTTGTTCAATTCACAATCTTCACAGCCGGCACTGCTGCTGCAGCCGGCGTGGGGGGCTGAAGTGGGTCAGGTGGAATGCAGGAGGGAGAGTGGGGCATGGAGGGGGTAATTGAGGGAGAGCAGATTGTCATGGTGTAGCTGATGTGGGAGGAGAAAGGGGGGTGGCCTGAAGGCGCTGTGGCTATGAGGCTGCTTGGGGGCTGGTGGGGGAGCAGATGGGAGGGTGATGGCAGGCAAGGGAGGAGATGATGGGATGCGGGAGGACATTTGGTTTGTCTACAGAGTGAATGGCAAGGCAAGACAGCTGGATAAAAAACGGTTGTGAAGGGTTCAAGCGATGGTTGAAGTGGGGTGAATGGAGAAATTGGAGAAGTGGAATGGGAAAGGGAGAGATAAGGAAGGAGGGATTGGTAGAAGGGATACAAGATGGAAAGGGAGGTTCGAAGGTCCGGGGGAGGTGAATGGGGAAGGAAAGGAAGAAAAAGGAAGGGGGTGTTGGAAGGGGGTTGAAACGTTTCATGCGATGCCTGTTATGATCACCCAGGAGGGTGGTCGGTTCCTTCGCCTATTCACCTTATCTCTCTTCCCACTCACCATGCTGGTAGTACCATGACCTCTGTTTTAGCTGCATGTGTTTTTGAGGAGTGTGCAAGCTCCCATGCACCCGTGCTCCCACCTCCTTGCCTCACCTCAGCTGCCATTCCTGCCTCAGTCCCAGCACACTGTCAGCGCCAATGCACGTGAGCTGTTTCAAAAGAGAGGGGTGAGACGGAATAATGCGCGGGGGAGGGGAAGGGGTACGGAAGCAGGGCAGCAAGGGACGCAAGCATGAGCATGCTAACATACTGTCTGCACCGAAGTTCATTAGCTGAGTGTGAGAGGGAGAAGGAGGGGGAGAAAGGACGGGAGTAAGGAGGGGAGTGGGGAAGAGGTAAAACAGAAAAGAAAGCAAACACGCTACCAGCTATAACTCACATTAGCTGAGTGTGAGAGAGCGAAACAGAAGAAAGATGGGAGGGTGAGGGCATAGAACGCAATGCAGCAGTAGTGTACTAGTGTATTGCTACTCCAGTCAACTATCACAGAACCAAGCTGGTACTAGTGATGTATATCTAGAGGCAAAGGTAGAGCTCCCCGTCTTGCTTCCGGTAAGTCCACGCCACCGTCACTCCACCTCTCTCCGCCACCTTCTACCCTACCCACACCCATTCCCCTCCCAGACCTCTTCCCCTATGGCTGTTAATTTGGGTTGGAAAGAGCACAAGTGATACGCACCTGAGGACCAAGGTGTGCTGTTAAAGGGCCGATGTGGCATCCCGAGGGGTAGAAAGAGGAGCAGGTAGGAGAGCAGCCGGGGTGCAGTGCAGGAGCTGGTGGCTCATGCTGTACGTATACCACTGGCGGTTCCTGGTGTAAGGGGGATGATGACAGTGGTAGGGGGTGTGGGTGGGAAGGATGAAGCAAGAAAAGACGGAAGTTTCGATTGGAAGAATGAGGTGAGGGTTGAGGGGGTGAAGGGAGAAAGAGGAGGGGGGGGCTGAAGGTGAGAAACAGGAAGTGGGTGAAGGAAGAAAAGGGGGAAGGGAGGGTGGGTGGGGGAGGGTGGGGTGTTGTAGAGAGGGAGGGGAGGCGACGCAAATAGGGATGGGATGGGGAGGAGGAAGGGGGCAGGGAAAGGTGAATCACCCTAATCTGTCATACATGCACGTAAACAGCCCAAACTCCTGCAGCATTTTTTTGTGAAAGTCCCGCTGGATCTACCACACATCCCTTGAATAGCACGTACTCCTGCAGGGCCACGGTGCAGCCTGCCCACTGCGTTGCTCTCCCTCCGCACCATACCATCAGCACCACCACCACCACCAACTGCATCTGTGGCTCCCCCACCGTCTTGTCAGAATATCGCTCCTGCTGCTCCACTCCTACTATTGCTGCGCTGCTCCAGTTCCTGGTGCTGGGTTGCTCTATCCGATCTTGCTATTCCTCGCTCCTTCTTCGCACCCTCCCACGCCCCGCCTCTTCCCTCTCTCGCTTGCCTACCTCCTGCTCCTGCTACCGCCTCAGCAACAGCTGCACCATCCCCGCATACCACCTGCATGCATCCCTTGACTTGATCCTGCTGTCGCCCCCATCCCGCCAGCACTTTCAGAGGGAGGTGGCACCTGGGGGAAAAGGGACTGGGGACGGCAAGAGTACTAGCAGCAGTGGTATGGTGGTAGTGGTGAGTGTGGTTGCTGCCGGTGCGAAAGGGGAAGCGCTACTTCTCATGGGAGGAGAGGCGGCGGCGGGTTGAAAAGAAGCAGCAAAAGCGGCTTTTCTTTGCTGCAACTCAATCTGAATTAGTGGGGCAGGTAAAATAAGGAAAGCGCGAGTAGCGGGAAGAGAGGCCCGGCGCGCGGTTAGCTTCTCTTCTGCCCCGCTCTTCCCTCCCACGCCTTCCTCCCGCTCACCTCCCTCCACCGCCGGCTCTCCATCACAGTGATAGGTTGGGTTCCTCACAGGGCAGGTGCTCTTGGTGTGGGCTGACGAAAAAAGGTCTACTTTCTCTCATCGCTGCATTCGGAGCAAGAGATGGGTTTGCCATCACTCGCCAAATCCACGGCGGAAGACCTTGCATTGCATCACCACTAATAGCTGCATTCGCTCATCTCGCCAGATTCACGCCAACCATGGGCGGTTGACTGTTGGCTGTAGCAACTTCCCCTCCCCACCCCCTTCCCCCCCCCCCCCCCCCCCCCCCCCCCTCCCTCCCCCCTTTCATGAACGAATCCGTACATTCATACTGTAACTGCGACTGTGCGTGCATGGTTACGCAGACCTAGACAGAAAGCACAAGCTGACTCATTGTTGCCTCGCTCGTCACTGCCAGCACTACTGCTGCCCGCCTCCACCCATTCCTCGATGTCCGAATTCACCACCACTGCTGCTGCTGCTGCAACCCGTGGCTCTCTCGGGGAAGGAAAAGGGAGCGGGGGAGGGGTTGAGGGGGGTAGATGGCTGGAAGGGGTCGGGGAGGGGAGGGGGACGCGGAGCTGAGCAAGGAGGGGAGGGGGCAGTGGAAGATGGTTGATGTTGGCATGGAATACGGAGAGGTAGTGCTCACTTTCATTTCAGCCTCGTAAATACATCACAAAAATGTGTGTGTTTGAAAATCATCTGACGTTCCCGCAGGTCGATCGTATGTTTGACAATCGTTTGAAAAACGTACAGAAAACCTACAAAAATCGTTTGTCCCTCTTGAGACGTTTTGGAGACACTATTCGTATGTTTCCGCTCAATGTTTCTTGCCTGTTGCTGCAGCATTAGGGTTTCGCGACTAAGAGGGGTTGGAGCTGGTCTCCTCGCTTGGAAGATTTGTGCTGTAAACCTGTTCTCGATATAAATGTCTCCTTTTTACTTCTGTGCATTGTTTGTTACAGCAAAACCTTTGAAGATTATTTCTTGAATTTGTAAATCCCATTAAGAACATGGGTTTCCAAGTGTCATATTTAACCAATGGTTATTGATTTTGCACCTATTAGATTAAAGAAATGCCTAAAAATATCAATATTCTAGGTTCAAAATCAACGTTTACCACAGTCACATTGGGTCAAAGGCCTCACCATACAAATCTGTTGAGGAGGCTCACTTCATCGTCCTCGCACGAGGGTACAATGTGCACGAGACTAAGAATGCAGTCTACATCGATCACCGCATAATTATCAACGCCCTCTGTGGGTAAAAGACGCTTGCATCCCGTCGACGGGCATTGTCGCTTGTCTTCGGTGTAGTACTCCACATATGCGCCTCGCCTCAGCTCACCACCCTTGTTGTAATGAAACAGCACAAGGCAACGGCCATACCACGGGGATCCCTTCCCTGCAGGGTTGATCGCAATCGACGAGAAGTTTTGCTGGGCTGGGCTAGCCTTGACGAACTGCCCCCTTGACGTCCATTCCATCTTATCGTGTGGCGGGATCGCAAGTGCCGTGTGCACCTGACACCACGAGCATTGAACAAAGAAAAAGGGAAAGCAGCGAAAGAGGGGGTGGAGAGCATAAGGGAAATGGGGTATTGGCCAGGGTTTGCATGGACAGCAGTCTGGAGAGGGGGAACCAGGGGCGGATGGGGTGGAAAGCAAGCAGGAGAGGGGGAACCAGGGGTGGATGGGGTGGAAAGCAAGCAGGAGAGGGGGAACCAGGGGTGGATGGGGTGGAAAGCAAGCAGGAGAGGGGGAACCAGGGGTGGATGGGGTGGAAAGCAAGCATTAGAGGGGGAACCAGGGGCGGATGGGGTGGAAAGCAAGCAGGAGAGGGGGAACCAGGGGCGGATGGGGTGGAAAGCAAGCAGGAGAGGGGGAACCAGGGGTGGATGGGGTGGAAAGCAAGCAGGAGAGGGGGAACCAGGGGCGGATGGGGTGGAAAGCAAGCAGGAGAGGGGGAACCAGGGGTGGATGGGGTGGAAAGCAAGCAGGAGAGGGGAATGCACCTGCAAGACTTGCGTGTTGATGCCCGCCTGTTTGAGGCGCAGAACCATCGCACTCATGGCGGGTTCACCCAGCGTCAAGACGTAGCTCCGGAACACCGAGTCGGTGATGTCTCCAATGACCATCTTCTTGTGGGTCTTAGTAAGCACCCTCCGGCCAGCCAGGCATGCCTGTCACCGTGAAGATGAGAGGGTTGGTATAGGGAGGGGGTGGGGTGAATGGTGTGGGCATTTGGAGGGTGGAAGAGAGGGTGGGGGAGGGGATTGATGCGGGGGAGGCGAAGGAGAGGGCTAGGGACCAGGGGGAAATGAGGGTGGGGGAACGGGGGCGAGTTTGTGGGGACGAAGACGGGGATGGAGGGTAGGAGTCGGTTACTTTGGTTAGGTTGGTCCAGCATCTGATTGCCAACTCATGCAGAGAGCATGGAAACAGATATTGGGGAACAGAGCAGTGGAACATAGCAGGGAAACAGTAGGGAACACAGGAGGATGTTGCGGAGCAGGGATGAAAGCAGGGAAAACAGAGCAGGGACCAGATCAGGGCAAACAGAACAGGGCACAGAGCAGGGCAGACACATCAATGAACATAGCATGGAAACAGTGCTGAGAACAGAGCAGGGAAACAGAACAGGGTACAGAGAAGGGGAACGGACTAGAGGAACAGAGCAGGAGAAGAGAGCAAGAGAACTGAGAAGGGAAACAGAGCAGGGAAACAGAGCAGGGGAACAGAAAAGTGGAACAGAGCAAGAGAACAGAGCAGGGCAGCCATGCAGTGAGTTAGAGCAGGAGAGCAGAGCATGGGAATAAAACAGGGAAACAAAGCAGACGAGAGTGTGCAGGAGTACAGAGCAGGGGGGACATTGCAGGTTTAAAAGAATCACCTCTTTCATCGAAGTCTCGTACGTGCTGTCCCCGCCGGCCTCCCGCGCTAGTTGTCTAACTACCGCGTGCTCCAGGTGTTTCCGAACGATGCGATCTTCAACATTCTTCCAATTCGTGCCACGTGAAGGACGCTTCACAGTGGTCTTGTGGGAGTGCTCGTAACAGTTCGACGAGTACTCCGCGGGGATTCCCCGAAGATGGATGGTTGACGGGAGGTGGACGAGGAGATGAATTTTCACTATTTTCCACTTTGACTTCTGCTTAGGAAATGCAACACGCAGAGCCTTCACCATGCTGGGGAGAGACAGTCGAGAGCATGCATGCAGTTAAGGGGTGGAATGCAGGCCAGGAAGGGAGAAACGACACGAGGGAGGGGGGGTGAGGAATCATGCAGTCAAGGGAAAAAAAGGGCAGGATTGAGGTCAAGCAGGTGGGGTATGGAAGAACACGGATGCAAAGGGTCAAAACAAGATGAAAGGGAAGGGGGGGGGGGGGGGGGGGGGGAGAGCATGTAGGTATGGTTGATGCGAGGAAAATGGGTGTATGTGGCAATGAACGGCTTGGGAGCCCACACAACAACAAGAGTAACTACCTGATGGTGGCATCTTTCATCCGTTTCAGGGAATCGTCGGTGTGGTACTCAGCGCGAATAAACTCCTTGTACCACTCGACCATGAGCACGATTGCCGTCCGGACATCTTTCCGTCCTGGGAGATCGATGATGAGAGGCAAGACCTGCATCATCGCACGATGCTCTGAAGCTGAAAAGCAGGCAGTGGATGTAAAGTAGGCCCACGCCGAAGGCAGACGGAGCACGGAAGCTGGTGTGACCTCCTTCAAAATCTTGTATCGCCTAGAGAGAAGGAACGGTTCAGCATGGTGGAAAATGCAAGCAAGGAGGGGAGGAACGGTTCAGCATGGTGGAAAATGCAAGCAAGGAGGGGAGGAACGGTTCAGCATGGCACGGAAAGCAAGCAAGGAGGGGAGGAACGGTTCAGCATGGCGCGGAAAGCAAGCAAGGAGGGGAGGAACGGTTCAGCATGGCGCGGAAAGCAAGCAAGGAGGGGAGGAACGGTTCAGCATGGCGCGGAAAGCAAGCAAGGAGGGGAGGAACGGTTCAGCATGGCGCGGAAAGCAAGCAAGGAGGGGAGGAACGGTTCAGCATGGCGCGGAAAGCAAGCAAGGAGGGGAGGAACGGTTCAGCATGGCATGGAAAGCAAGCAAGGAGGGGAGGAACGGTTCAGCATGGCGCGGAAAGCAAGCAAGGAGGGGAGGAACGGTTCAGCATGGCGCGGAACAACTCACTCCAGAAGAATCTTCCGTTCTTTCGGAGTCAGCTTCTTCACAAGGCACTTCATGGCATGCAGCCATATGCCCTGCTCCCAGATGTGCATGATGTCCGGGGGGACAGCGAGGTACGTGTTGCCCCAGAGAGTCTTTGCGAATTCCCAGTCCCACAAAGGCTCTGCGTTGTGGGTCAAGGACACAGAGTCACTATGGCGGGTCGGGTAATAAACACAAACAGCTGGCTGCGGATTGCAGTAGGTTCTCATGCACACTAGCCAGTGCAGTAAATGGTGTGGATGGAGGGAAACCAGATGAGATGCGCGGCAATGCATGCGGAACAAGCTAGGCAAGGGTTACCTTCACAAAGTGAGTAGAGGTCTTCTTCTTCACCGCCTTCAGCTTCTTCTTGGTCTTTGCTGATTCCATCTCCTTGTACGCATCCTTCTGACTCTTGACAGTTCTGAGGACAATAGTGTCTTCCTGCTCATCCAGGCACTCCTTATCGGGGGGCGTTTGAGTCAACTCAAACGTCATCGCATCGAGGTGCTCCTTATCAGCCAAGCACAACGAGCACGGATGGAGCGAGTTGCATGCCATCGTACAAGTGACCTTAGAAGACTCCGGGTGATCTGTCACCCATGAATATAGAAGCGTGAATGCTCTATATTGCACACCGGCACTGTCTTCCACCATCACCCCGCCCCTGCACAGCCGCCAAGGATGAAGGGGGAAACAGGGAGGTAGAGGGGGGATGATGGGATAACACGTCGGAGATGGGATTAACGGAGTGAGCATGGGCGGCCCTAAGCAAGCAGATGAAGAACGGTTAGGAAGATGGGGACAGCAAGCAGGGAAGGCATTAACGGCATGAGATGGTGGCAAAGCAAAGTTATGACTGAATACAGCGTTGTGGCACGCATGCGAAGGAGGACCAGATGTGAACGAGGGTCAACAAAGGGAGCGGAGAGGGTATGCCTCGGGGAAAGAATATTAGAAGGGTAGTGGGGTGGAAACGTGACGGATTGGTTGGTTTGACCAAACCAGAAGGCTAATGATGGAAACAGCGGGGTGGGAGGATTATGAATAGGGATGAGGCAGAATACGTAGTACGATGACGGAGATTACTAGGGATGCGCGCCTTTGGGTGACAGTAGTGTTGACTCACCCTTTCAGATGTGAAGCCGCCTTTAAATCTTTAATCATGATCTCTGCAGCGCGCTGGAACACTCGAACCTTTTCTTCCGGCGAGAGGTCAGTTGGGATATTAGGCAGAAGCCCGAGAAGCTCAGTGCCTCCTTCGAGCCACCTAGCCCATTCCGGAATGTTCCCAAAGGACAAAAGAAATGGGTGGGCGGATTGGCGCCCGTTATGTGATAGATTGGTCTGGTCCGAGAACAGAATGAGCGCTATAACTATGCCATACTTCCGCACCCTCTCCTGCCACAGTGAATGAGAAAGTGATGGAAATCTGAATTGGATCCTATGTTTCGACGGTCTTGTCAAACGCGACATGAGCTGGAACCAAACTTACCCAAGCCTCCAGCATCCAGTCCGTGTTTGCAGGGGTACTGTAGCGGCGAACCCCATCAACCTTCCACTCTTGAGGCTTGATGGTGAATCCCTTGACAGCTGACATTTTCTTGAACATGGCCTGAAGGAGCTGATGGTGATAATGACGGAAACAAAGATGTAAAACAGACGTGAAGAAACGATGGTTCCCTTTGGTCCGATGGTTTGATCGTCATCACTAAACCCCCACCTCCACTCTAAAGAACGTGACACCGCACCTGGGAGACACTCACTTTTATAGCGTTTCGGCGTTTGAAAGTGAGAAACCCAATCTCGTGATCCACTGGGATCTCCTCGACGATCCATTCGTTCGCCTCTCCAACGTCAAAGGTGTTCTCGTAGTTCTCCAGGTCCCGGTAGCTGTTCCAATCGTCCAGCTGCTTTGGATCTAATTTCGGATGTCTAACTAACTGTATCGTGTCGTTTATCACCCCGTTGGTAAGGCCGTGAGACCGTGCCAAAATGCATATTTCCGCCTTAACATCGAGAATTTCCTCTGTAGGAGCTTCTTCCCCCACGAGTGTGGTGCTACACGTATGGGCCGCATCAGGAACTCGCTCTGCCGGCTGCTGGTGCTGCTCTACTGCGTTCGGAAGTGCTGCTAAGGGAATCGAATGCTTTGGCGCGGGAAGGGTGGCTCTTCCTAACGGGACAAAGGTATACTGCTTCTCAACGTCACGACCCAGCTTCTTTCGTTTATCACCCCGTTGGTAAGGCCGTGAGACCGTGCCAAAATGCATATTTCCGCCTTAACATCGAGAATTTCCTCTGTAGGAGCTTCTTCCCCCACGAGTGTGGTGCTACACGTATGGACCGCATCAGGAACTCGCTCTGCCGGCTGCTGGTGCTGCTCTACTGCGTTCGGAAGTGCTGCTAAGGGAATCGAATGCTTTGGCGCGGGAAGGGTGGCTCTTCCTAACGGGACAAAGGTATACTGCTTCTCAACGTCACGACCCAGCTTCTTTCGTTTAGCAGCCTCTTGAGCCTTGCGTCTTTGGGCTCGCTTACAGCCGTCATGGTTAGCTTGATGGCTACGTACTGTTTGATAGCAGTACACGCGCTTATTGCAAAACTCGCAACCCTGACCCTCCATCGAGCAGATCTGTCCGTAGGACTGAAATGGTGTTTGGCACACGAGCTTGAGATGTGAGTGGTAACACTGCACCGTGGTGAGATAGTAAACTATCGTATGGACGATAGTTTACCGAAAGGCGAGGGAAGGATTTGGCGCGAACACGAATTGGCGATCTGAGCCTGAACATATGTTTCCGGTGACCCTGATTGGCCATTGGTCATCGAGTGTCAGTAGTTGGTTTGCAATTGGTTAGGGTTTGTGATGTACTGCTCGAAGTGCTAGGTCACACTGTTTATTGGTGCGCGACAACCGC